TCTCCAATAACTTCATTTCGTTCTGGATTACCTGCATAAAATGATCCTGAAATGTGTTTTGTTTTAATTTTCTCTGCATCATATTCAAAATACTTCTTCAAAAGTTCCATCATTTTTTCCTTTGAATATCCAACTTCTGGGATTTCTGTGTAGTTTTCAAATTCTTTAATACGTAATGATTCTCCTATACTAGTTGTTGATTTCTTAATTTCTTTTTGAATGACATTGTGAATACCAGTTGCTCTGGTAATTCCTTTAAATAATTGTGAATAGATATTATATAACGTTTCTTTACATGGTAAAAAATAAGAAATAATCCATCCAATAATTCCACCAATGATTATCTCTCCAATCATTACTTCTACTTTTTAAGTTCATTAGGTTTTATTTTGTGTTATATAAGAAAGGACAATGTCCTGTTATTCTCTATGGGATTTCCCGAAGTGAAAAGATGAAAAAAGGGAATGTTAATGGTTGAAATGATATTTACATTACAAATAAAAAACCTGTAGAAAAACACTTTTCTTTAATTCTTATTTATAAATAGAAGTGTTATTCTTCTATTCTTTCTCTTATTTTGAAAAAAAAACTCTTTTTACTTACTTTATCTTTTCTTTAATATGCCATTTGGAATGAACTTATCTCAACAAAACATTTTCTTGTCATTTTTATGTGACACGTAAAAAAATTTTGAAAAGCCAAATAAAAATCTCATTACAATAATTATATTTTGTTACTAAAAAAGAACAGAAATTAAACTCTATCTGTCTGATAAATTTTGTGGAATTTGATTACATTGAACACAATCAAAATGACAAATAGAAAGTCATTATCATAAAAAATTATCTTTGAAATAATCAATTATATTGGAGATTTAAAGTAAATAGTTTTTTATATAAAATTTTTAATTAACTTGATTTTTGTACTTCATCAGATAAAAATGTTGAATTTTTTAATTTTTTTTTTTTTAACTTACTATTTCATTCATTTCCTTTGACTTTAACAATATTAAAATTTAAATATTGTTTCTTGGAAATAACACTTTAAAGGTTTATATTTTTATTAAATAATGACATAACAAGATTGATTCTATTTGAAAGGTAATACCCTAAAGTAAAGTTATTAAGATTAATAAAATAAAGAGAATTAAATGACATGAAAAGACATGATATAATTAAATAAATCAAAACACTTGTTCATCAAGAATTAAGTGCAAATATATGAGAAGAGAAATTAAGTGAAATTTATAATTGAGAATAAACATAAATTTGACATTCAAAAATTATGAATAAAAAAAATATTAAAATAATTGACTTAGGATATGTTTATCTTTCTATTTTTCATGTTTATAGTATCAATAATAGTATTTACTATATTTGTATTTAAAACAAGTAAAATGTTAAGTATTTAAAATATTATTTTCTTATTCTCTTTTTTTTTTGTTAATGTTATATCCTTTTTTCATCTGTTATTTATTCTTCAGTAATTTTATTATTTCAATTATATTTTTTAAACCATATTGATGTATTTCATATTAATTAATAAATATTTAATAATATTGAATGATTCAAAATGTTATTGTTTTTAATTTCTATTTATTTATCTAATATCCCCAGTTATTAACTTAATACAATATTTATTATATATTATATCATAGTTATTAGTACCATAATTATTTTATTCATTTATTATCCTTCCCTCTTTACTTATAATTAATAGAAATAATTTTATCATTACATTCAAATGTTTAATTAGTTTATAGTTACGTTATTTATTACTTAAATGTTACATCAGAGTATTTAATTATATTATAATTTAAAACATAATCCTTTTAATACACTCAATAATTTTATTGCCCAATTAACGTTTACATATTTTTCTTTCTTTTTTTAAATTCATTCTTGCCATTATTTTATGTTTCATATTACCTTTTATTATGAACAAATCATTTTAACTTATACTATGTTTTTAATAATTCAATATCAATTTGTAATAGAAAATTAATTTTTTTTTGTAAATTTCATACTATGGGATATTGTAAATAATTTTTATATTATTTGTTATTGTCATAAAACTATTTTTTATGTATTAGATATTTGAATATTATTCAATAATACATTATTCTTTTATTTTTTACTGATTCATTTCTTTTATTATTATTATTTATTTCATTTTTTGTATTACTCTTATCTTCTTTTATTCATTATTTTTCTTTTTAATGACATAAATTCTTTTTAATAAGTGTTTAAATTTCACTATCATCTAAGTAATTTTTTTTAGTTCTTTCTCTTTTTATCTTTACTATTATTTCAATCGAAATAAACCATGTTGAAGAAACTAATTCACTCACTTCTCAACACTATGAAATCTAAAGGTTAATCAGATTTGATTTATTTTTCTTTACTCTTATTTCTATGTATTTTATTTCAAATAACTTTGACTGTTTATTCCACTCTTTATATCTTCTTTCATCATGCTAGTTATCCATTAGCATAAACTCTTATTTATCTTCTTGTATAAACATCATTTATCTTTATTCATTAACTTCTTTTTTTGGTTAATGACTTTTATCACAAAAAATTTGTTGTTATTCATTATATTTATTATCATTCATTATTTCCATTCTGAACTATGTATTTTATGAATTTATTTGTAAAATAATTATCATTTAAATTTTATTCAAACAATCTTAAATCATTTTTTTTTGAAAAGCATAAGAAAAATAATTAAATGTCTAAAATTAATAATTTCGTTTTTAATAGAGTTAAAATAAGAAAATAACCAATAGAACTAAGAAGATCTCTGAAATAGAAAAGAAGAGATGGAAAAAAGAGTAAATGAACTATATCAACGTGCAAAAGCAGATGAAGATTTTATTACAATTTCACAATTAGCAAAGGAATATCCAATTCCTGATGATCTTAGAGTTGAATTATATGAAGTTTGTTTAGAGAAGTTATAAAAAAAAGATTTAAAAAAAACTAAAACAAAAACTCACAGTAAACGTAGTATTTAATTCCAAAAGTAGATGGTATTGAATGTAAAGCACAACGAGAAATAGGAGAACTTACTACAATTGAAGAATACCTCACAAAGTTTGAATTATCAAAAGATAAAATTGATGATGCAAAGAAGACAGTGTTATATCTTATTCATACAAATCCATGTCAATATTATGAAGAAATTGTATTATTTGTATTAATTATGGAAAAAATTATGGGAAGAATTGACTTACCTTTTATACAGAGGATTTATAATAGTTATATGGGATTTTGCATTAACTTACTTCCAAGAGGATGGCATGGACTATTATCATTAACACATATGATCTTATTATATTATTTCCCTGATGTTACTATTCATCTAGACAAAATGAAATTAACAACAGATAAATTACTTCGACGATTCATTTTTAATTTGAACGTTAAAATGTGTAAAGATTTTAAAGCAATTTTAACTCTTTTAGATGGAATATTCACTTTCCAAAATAAAAATCTTTATTTCTATGTAATGGTTGCTATTTACGAAGATATGGGAAGTCAATTGAAAACACTTCAAACACAAGAAGAAGTTCTTAATTTTATGGCTTCAAAAAGTTATACATCTGATGAAATTAAGATTCTTCTTTCAATTGCTAAATGTTATTTAGCAAAAAGTCCTGCATCCTTCAATGGACTTATTAATGGATGTTTAAATAATACACCTCAGTTCAAACAATGGTACACTGCAAACATTTCAGAGGCATTTGTAGTTTCATTGACACCAACAGATATTATAAATTACACAATACTATTTAAACAACCACTCCAAATGATAGATGTCCGACCAAATGAACAATACCAACATGGACATTTAACACATGCAATTTCATTAGAAATTGATAATCAAAAGAAAGAAAATATTGAAAAAGTATTTTCAGAATTAACACAGAAACAACCTGTAGTGTTCTATGCATCTGGAGAAGGAGGTAATCCTACAATAAAAGAAATGGCTATTTTGTGCTATGAGTTATACAGCAGAGGTTATAAGAGAGTTGGAATTATGGTTGGAGGATATAAAATGTACCATAAATATTTTATTGAAGGAAGTTTAGGATTTGAAATAGAAGGTCATAACACACTGAAATGTCCTGCATGTCTTGGTGTCACAGGAGGGTTGTTTTCACGATTTAAAAGAGGAGAAGTAAAGGAGAATAAGGAGGTAATCACTGAAGGTATTAAAGATGAACGAAAAACAGAAGATGAAACAGAAAAAAAGGAAGACGACAAGAAAGAAAAACAAGAGAATAAAGGAGAGACAGAAGGAAAAGAAGAAGATGGGAAAATCAAAGTAGAAAAAGAACATACAAAATCAAGATGGGGAAATTCATTCAGGCAAACACTACGATGGCTAACAGAAGAACCTAATAAAGAAAAAAAGAGCAACGAAGAAAAAAAAGAAGAAGTAGTGAAAAAGCAAGAAGAGGAAAAACAAGAAGAAAATAAAGGGGAAAGTAAAGAAGAAAATAAAGAGGAAAAACAAGAAGAAAATAAAGGGGAAAGTAAAGAAGAAAATAAAGAGGAAAAACAAGAAGAGGTTGTTGTATCTATTGACACAGACTCAATTAAGAAATCAGTAATGAGTTGGTTAGTGGGAAAACCAAAAGAACAAAAGAAAGAAGAAGAAGAATTAAACAAGAAAGAAGATAAAAAAGAACAAAAAACAAGTACTGAAAAAGAAGAAGCAAAAGAAGAAATAGACAAGAAAGAAGAAGAAGAGAAAAAGACAGTTTCACTTGAGGCAGAAAGAAAGGAAAAAGAAGAAGAATTAGAAAAGGAAAAGCAGCCAACAGAAATAGAGTCTCAAATGAAAAAATCAACTGAAGAAAGAAAAGTTAAAGATGTAGACGTTGAGGCACAAAAGAAAAAGGAAGAAGAAAAAGAAAATATTAATGAAGAGGAAAAAAAAGCCACAGAAGAAGAGGCTAGAAAACGTAAAGAAGAAGAAGAAAGAAAACTTAAAGAAGCAGAAGAAGCTAGAAAACTTAAAGAAGCAGAAGAGGCTAGAAAACGTAAAGAGGAAGAAGAAAGAAAACGTAAAGAGGAAGAAGAAAGAAAACGTAAAGAAGAAGCTAAAAAACGTAAAGAGGAGGAAGAAAGAAAACTTAAAGAAGCAGAAGAGGCTAGAAAACTTAAAGAAGCAGAAGAGGCTAGAAAACTTAAAGAAGCAGAAGAGGCTAGAAAACGTAAAGAGGAAGAAGAAAGAAAACGTAAAGAAGAGGAAGAAGAAAGAAAACGTAAAGAAGAAGAAGATAAAAAGAAGGCTAAAGAAGCAGCAGTTGCTAAAGCCAAATCAGTAAATGGGTATTGTGAAAGTTTAATGAAAGAGAACAAACAATTTAAATGCATAAGATGTAAAGGAAAAACCAAAGAAGAGGCTATTTGTTTAGTTAGTAAAGAGGCAGTTGTTGTAATAATCCAAGAAAGAGAGCAATGGGAAATCAAGGATCAAGTCATGTTAGATGATATAACACAAATTGTTAAAGTCACTAAAATTAAAGGACAAATACGAATTAAATATGGAGGGGGAGAAAAAGAAAAACATATTTCACTTAATCTTGGAGATCTTGTGGATGATTTTATCAAAGAAGTCAACTCTAAGGCAAACTAAAAGGTTGAAATTTATTTTTTTTATGAATTTGTTTAAACAAACAAAAAGATATGAAGAACTTATTTGAGTTGTAATGTTTCTTTCTTCTTTTAAAAGTGATATCCCTAAAAAAGACGTTTTATTTGCGTTTATTGTTTAAATAACTCAACAAAAATTTATTTAAATAATTCTTACAGTAAATTTGTTAAAACAATATAAAGAAGAAACACATTCAATATTTAAAGAAATAGAAAAGTTGAATAATTTGATTGAACCAAGGAATAAGCTAAATGTGTCTTCATTAAGTTGTACTAAATTAATAAAGTTTTTAGTTGGTTTAATTTAGAGACAAATAAGCCATAAGGCATAAGTGTTAGTCTAATTTGTTGTTGGGACAAATCCTGAATTGTTAAATAAAGGAATAAAAAATAAGTGATATTAAAGATAAAACTAAGAGTGAATGAGTTGTTAAATTCTTAAATTATTGACCTTTTTTTGATAATCAAAGACAGCTTAGAGTAAAGAAAATCAAAAAGCTAAAACAGAAAATATATTAACCTCCTATCTAATAACTCAATAACTTTATTATATTATAGACCAAATACAATTAATCTAATGTTCTCTCTAATATCATTGGTGATCCAGGACGAGAAGGTGAACGAGAATAACAAATTGGTAATAATGTTGGAGAACTTGAAGAAGATCGTGGAGTTACACGAAAAATAGGTAAACGAACATTTAATGTTTTTTGTTCCTTATCTTCTTGAATTGAATTTATCCTTTTGTGAGTAATAACTGAAGATTTGTGTTGAGGAGTGTTCATTTAGAAACAAACGAGTAATAAGAAGAAGATGACAAATCGTTTTATTTTTAAATAATTAAAATAGTTATAAAAAGAATTATTATGTCGTGTTTATTATTTTTGTTCAGTTTTTTAAATTTAATTCGTAATAAAAAACATTTCACCAAAATTAGAACTCTTTTTTTATTTTTCAAATTTTGTTTAATATTTTTGAAATTATAAAATTCAAACTTGTTAGAAATAAACTCAATTGCAGAAATAGAGCATATTAAAGAAATTTAAATAATCATTTCTTAATATGAAGAAAATCCAATTGTGGATATATCTAATAATTGTTTTTTTTTATATTTTAGAAAATATAAAAAAAAAATGTAAAAAATATAAAATTTGAAAAATAAAAAAGAGAAAAAATAAATTGTTTTAAAAAAGAAAAGACAATGACTGAAGAAGAGTTAAATACTTATTTTAAGACAGTTATGCCGTTAGTTAAAACAAGTGGAAGAATGATTAGAGATGCTTATTGTAAAATGCAGGTAACTATTGCTGGAAGTGATGATCATTTATTCACTACAGCTAACCCAAGTGTTCCAATGAATGAAAAATATGAAGAAATAAAGAGTTTTACAAGTAAGTCATGTTCAATAGATTGGGTTACAGAAACAGATAAAGGAGTTGAGCAATATTTAATATCATCATTACGTGCTGCTTTCCCAACCCATAGATTTGTAGGAGAAGAAACTGATGATACTCACAAAGAATTAACTGATGATCCTACATGGATTATTGACCCAGTTGATGGAACAACTAATTTTGTTCATGGAATTCCAATGTGTTGTACATCAGTGGCATTGTCTATTAACAAAGAAGTAGTTATTGGAATTGTGTATAACCCAATTCAAGAAGAATTATTTAGTGCAATTAAAGGAAGAGGAGCATTTATGAATGGAAAACAAATTCATGTTAGTCATACAACAGAAATTAATCAAGCAATTATTGGAACAAACCCAGGTTATCGTCGTGAACGTGAAGCAATAGATGTTATGTTATTTAATTTAAATGAGATAATGACTAGAGGTGTTGCTGGAATAAAGATGCTGGGAAATGCTGCAATGGATTGTTGTTATGTTGCTTGTGGAAGAACAGATTGTTTTTATGAGAAATATTTATGTGTTTGGGATTATGCTGCTGCTTCATTGATTGTAAAAGAAGCTGGTGGAATTACAAGAACTATAAACAACATTAATCCCTTGCTATTGAATAAAAAGTTATTAATTATTGGTAACCCATCAATAGCAAATCAATTATTTGATATATTAAAACAATAAATTGATTTGTTTTTGGTTCTTCTTTGTTATTTTTTTATTTAGAACTTATATTCATTAATTATTAATTCTTCATTCAATTATTGATTTAATTAATGACGCACTTAACCCACTCTCTTGTAATTCATTTATATTAAATTCTTCTTGAATCTTTTTCCCAATCTCTTTAACTTTCTCAGTTTCTCCAGAAGTATTTTGAACTATTTTAAGTCCAATAAGTTTCATGGTAATAATATAATTCTTCATTTCTTTACTCCAACTTTTTTCAATAGTTTTAATAATAAATTCAGCTTGAGTTGGATTGATAACACTTGAATTTGTTATTTGTTGAAGAACTAAAATCATTTTAAATCCTTCAAAAACAACATCAACAAAGCCAATTGTTTTAACAATATCATTTTGAGAAGTAATTTGATGATTAAGTTTATTAATTACAAGACAATTCGAGATTATTTTTCTGATAATTTCTTGATAATTCTCTTTCCACATTTCATAGTTTCGTTTGATAGTATCATTTATTACTTTCATTATGTAATATGCAATTTCAATCTCATTGTCTTTCATTTTCTCATTTATTTCAAGATAATTCATAACTCTTTCTTTTCTACTCCATAAATACCATCTCATTTCTTTTTGACTTTTTAAAACTACTAATAATTCTTCATCACTTAATTCATGAGAAGTATAATCTTCCCTCACTTTAAATCTCATTCTAAAAGTACCTTGAGTAATTTTTTGAATCACATTTACCATTGTTACTACTGTTTCAATATTAGAAAATTTTTCCAGTTTATTATAAACTTCTGGTGTAAATAAAGTTGAATATGTAATAGTAATATTCTTATTCATTTGTGAGGATATTATTAATTCAAGAATAGAAGCAGCTAATTCCCTTGGGGAATAGTCAATCATTTCAAGAGCCTTTGAAACAAAAAGGTCTACATTTCCAGTTCCACCATTTTCAATCCACTGATGTATTAACAAAACAACTATTTCTCCCATTTTTTCATTTACTGCTTGAAGAGCTTGATTCATAAGAACTTGACTATCCCCACGAACCCCATATTTCTTAACTAAAGATGTAATTTTTTTCTGATCATAACAATGATCCACAACAGGTAATACTCCACCATTTTGAAAATAATATTCAATAATACTTTCTTCACGTTCTTCAATAGGTTCTTGAAGAATAGATTTTAACATTGGAATAAAACAATTTAAGTTGACCTGTAACTTACATTTTATTAAAACTATTACAAAGTCTCTTATTTCTTTATGCTCTCCAAATTTACTAATTAATTCTTCAACTTGTTGTTGAGTTAATAGACCAGAATCATCATAAACTGGGTTAGATTCAACTAAATAACTAACTGGTTTAATCATTTCTACTGACTCAATAGGAAGAATATTTTTCTTAAGAGGGCCAATGAGAAATGGAGGACATTTTTGATCAAAAGTAATGTATTTAAGTATTCTAATCAAAGGTTTGGGATTATTATAATAATAATTAGGATGTGAAAAGACAAATGTTGCAATTGGTGTTGTTAATTCAACAGGGCTAAAGTTAAAATATTCTACAGCATTAAACAAAACGTCAAGGTCTTCTGCACAACAAATTTCTTGTTTAAAAAGTAATAAAAAGTCTTGTTGCATAACTGAGATAATAGGGAGCAATGGATTTTTATCAAATGACTGTACAGAATCAATATAAATCTTCAATAAAAGAAGATATTGTGATTTAAATCGGTAAAAAGGTAAGAGCATTTGGGTTGACTTATTTTGTGAACAAGAAAGACCAAGAGAAACAAGACTAGAATATCCAAACTTTAACCCTGAAAGTGCATAAATACTTGCAATACATAGATCAAGAATTCCTTGTGAAAGACCTTTTCTGAATAATAATAAACAATGAGAATCATCGATTAAAGGTTTATGAGATAATTTAGAATATTTACCGCAAAACCGAAGCAATGCAATGACACCATTAACATCACTACTTTCTATTAAACGGTTTAATTCAAGTTGGATAGTACAAGGGTTTTCTTTGAACATCATAAATGAAATGAATTTATATGAATTTGGAAATAAGAATTTTCTTGCTGCAGTATATCTAACTGAAGGCATAACTTGTGGTTGATAAGATAAAGCAGAAAAGAGGGTTTGTAATGGCTCACAGTTAGTTGACTTTTCAATTAAAGAATTCATTGAGTCATTAGTTATACATTCTGCAACAAGAGAAAGAAGTTCAGGTAAACAATAGTCACAAGTGATAAATATAATTGTATTAAGTAATGACTCTAATAACAACGATTTTAAAGTTATTTTATCTAGGGTAGGAATAATTTGTTCTAAAGAAGAAGAGGCAGATAATATTCTATGATACTCAGCTATAATTAATGGAACTGTTTCTTTAAAATGTGATGTTGCTGGTAATGAAGTGATATGAAGTGAGTGTGGTGAAATTGTAAGAACTTGATTTGGTCTTTCTGTTCCAACATATTGTGCTCCTGATAAAATCATTAACAATTCACATAAAATAACAGTTTGTGGTAGCATTTCTCCATTATCATTATTATATAATAGTTGAACTAATTCATTGTAAGGAGGTTCTTCTTTTGGTAATTTTGGTATTGCTTTTCTAATAACTTCATATAACTGACTTTCAATTGATGCCATTGTTTAAATTTTAAAGTTTTTTTTTGATTTTCTATTAATGTTATTTATAGTTATATAAAACACTTATATTTATTATAGATATTTGTTTTTTAAATAAATTTAGGAATATTATGAAAAGATAAGGTATATTAATAAATATACTCCTTTTAAAATCTTTTTAGTTTATAAAAGGATTGTTAGTGATATTTAATTGTTTAGGATATTTGTTTAATCAATTCATTGAATATCAAATAGGTATAATAATTAATTTAATTAAAAATTAAAATGAATGAATTTAAAAATTATAATTTTTAATATAAGACAGTTTTAATACTTACAAGTTAATCAAGAATTAATATCTAAGAAAACCAAAAATACTACAATAGTTTTTTTAAAGTATTTGTTTATAATTAATTGACATTTTTTTGTACTTTCATATGGATAGGAATACTTTCATTAAAGATTAGATAAGACATTAAAGGTTTTTAAAAATAAAAATTTAAAAATACTTTCATTATTAAATAAACTAAGTCTTTGAAAGTCTTTTAATCTAACTTATACTACTAAACTCGTCTTTTTGATTTTCTTTTTTGATTTTGAATTTAACTAGAATAATTTTTCCATTGATTGAGATGAACTAAAACTTAATTAAAAACCTAAGACGAAACTCAATAGTCACAAATCAATGAGTTTCCTGAGGAATATCATTAATGGAATAAAGTCGTCATTTCTAACAGACCCCAGTATTCCTAAGTCAAGATATGTAATTTTAAATAAATTACATTCAGCTCGATTTAGTAAAGTATATCATTGTAGATTAAGAGAGTCAGGAAAAGAAGTCTGTGTTAAAATTTATCAAGTAGGAGAAAAAGAACGGAATAATGAAGTATTAGAAACACAAATATTAAATGAGATTAGTATATTAAGAAGAGTAAATCATCCATGTATATTAGGATGTTTGAATGTCTACTTAACATCACATCGAGCAGTGATGGAGATGGAATATATGAATGGAGGAGATTTGTTTGATTATCTTGTGAAGAATGGAATTCAAAATGAACAAGTAGTTCGACAAGTTGCTATACGATTAATGAGTGCAGTAAAATATCTTCATAGTGTAAGTATTACACACAGAGATATTAAATTAGAAAATATGTTACTTGAAAAACCCAACGATATTTCTTCAGTCAAGCTCAGTGATTTTGGGTTATCAGTTGAAACTGAAAAAGAGACATTGATGACTGAACAAGTAGGAACTTCTTATTATATGGCACCTGAATTATATCGAAGATTGCCTTATGGTAATAAAATAGATTGTTGGTCATGTGGTGTTGTTCTTTATAGTCTTCTTTGTGGAACATTTCCATTTGCAGGTGAAGATCAAGAACTTGTTTCAAACATATTAAGAGGAAAAGTGACATTTCCAAATGACATCAAAATATCTGATGATTGTAAAGATTTTATTTTAGGTCTTTTAACTGTAAAAGCTTCTTCTCGTCTTTCTTCCCAACAAGCTATTGAACATCCTTTTATTGATGGAAATGAAATATTAGGAAGTATACTCACAGAACATGGTAATCTTTGTAATTGTCATTCAGAAAGTCTTTTAAGTCAACTCACAACAACAACAACCAATGATTCGAGTCAAGATCAAAATTCTGCTTCATATGAATGAAGTATTATTATTAATTAATTGTAAGATGTTTGTAACTATTTTCAATTTAACTTTCATTAATAATAAAAATGAACAGTATTAAAATTTGGTTAAAAAAATTTCATTCATTTGAATATTTTTTTTTTCATTTTTACTTAAAGATTTCTGCTCTTACATGACGTTTATATTCAACAATGTCACCAGGGAATTTAGTAATAGTTTGGTCATGTAAATGCCAAATTTCATCACAAACTTGACTAATAAGACGTTCATCATGGGTAATAATTAAAACACCACCTTGATACACAGCTAAAGCACGAGCTAATGCTTCAACAGTTTCAATATCTAAATGATTTGATGGTTCATCAAGAAGTAATAAATGAGGTTGTTTATAAGCTAAATCAGCAAATACAACACGAGATTTTTGACCACCAGAAAGAGTATCTAATCTTTGTAAAGAAGAATCACCAGTAATTCCAAATCTACCTAAGTGTGATCTTATTTCTTGAACTGTTTTTTCAGGATATTTATTTTGGAAGAATTGAATTGCATTAACTTTGAAATTTAATTGATCAACAAAATGTTGTGCAAATACTCCAATTCGTGCTTTACGATTTCTTTGAACTGTACCTTCTACAGGAGTTAATGCATCAATTAATAATTTAAGAAAAGTAGTTTTACCACATCCATTTCTTCCAACTAATGCAATACGACTTTCCATATTCAATGCAAAATTTAAATTTTTAAATAAAATTTTATCTGGTTCATATCCAAATGTAATATCATGGAATGAAACAATATTAGAATCTAATGGTTCTACATCTGGGAATGTTAATGTTACTTCGGCATCATCAACAACAGTAGATACTTCTTTCATTTTTTCCATCATTTTAATTCTACTTTGAACTTGTGGACCACGAACAGCAGAACATTTAAATCTATCAATAAATTGTTGAATATGTTTTCTTTGTATTTGTTGAGCATCATATGCACGTTGTTGTTGTAATAATCGTTTTTGCATTGTTGCTTCAAATGTATCATAATCTCCTGGATAATATGTAAGTTTGAAATCTTTAAAATGAATAATATCTGTAACAATTGCATTTAAAAATTGTCGTTGATGAGAAACAATCAATAATGTTCCATCCCAATTCTTTAATACTTCTTCTAACCAAATTAATGCATGGAAATCTAAATGATTTGATGGTTCATCAAGAAGTAATAAATCAGGATGCATATAAATAGCTTTAGCAATAGAAATTCTCATTCTCCATCCTCCTGAAAATTCTTTTGTTGGTCTTTCAAAATCTTTTTGAGTAAATTGAAGACCTGTGAGAATTGATTTAATTCTTGACTCTGCTGTATCTGCATCTAATTCAGCTAATCTAGAATATGCCATTGTTATCTTTTCAGCATTTACCAATGGCTCTTTTTCAAGTTCTGCAAGGTCTGCATATAATTGAACTAATTCAACATTTGCTTCATAAACTGTTTGGTAAACTGAACGATCATCTCCATCAACTTCTTGTTCAATAAATTGCATTGTCATATTATCAGGAATTGCAACATTTCTTGTAGCAATAACTCTCATTAATGTAGATTTTCCACATCCATTTCTACCAATAAGTCCATATCTTCTTCCATGTGCTAATGTCAAATCTGCATCTTCAAGAATAAGATGTTTACCATATGCAATACTTATATTATCTTGTTTAACGTCTTTACAATTACTATCAACTTTAGCTTTATTAACTGAAATAGTTGGTGCAGATACTAATCCAGCATTTTCGTATAATTGTTTTCTTTTCTTTTCTTCCATTTCTTCTCTCTTTTTCTTCTTTTTTTCCATTTTTGCATCACTTTGTTCAAGTGCTGAATCTTGAACTAATGTCTTTTTAAACAAACTACCTCCATATAACTTATTATCTATTTTCTCTACATTATATGCTTTCTTTAATCTTTTAACATTAGAAACAATATCATATTCCATTGGTCTTTCTTCAAGTTTTTGTTCAATTATTTGCTTTGCTTTTTCTTCACTATTACATGCTTTACATGACATAATAATTGCTAACATTCTTGTTTCAATATCAGATCGAATCATTGCTTTAGTGTTTACTAATGAATTAATATAATTATCAACTATTGGATCAATTTTATTGTCATATTCAATTATCTTTTCTTTTTCTGGTTTAATTTTCTCTTCTTCAATCTTTTCATGTTCTTGTTCTAATTCTTCTTCAATCTTTTCTTCAACTTTGTCAAATTCTTCATTCTCAATTTCTGCATGAATCACTGGTTCAGTTGATGTGTTGCTATTTGACATTCTCTTTCTATAACAAAAGTTCCTTTCTTTTCTTTTTGAAGTTTGTCTTTCTTTTCTATTTCACAACCCTATTTTGTTTTTAATACCATTCTCCTTTGAAAAATGTGTTATTCTTTATTTTGATGTTTCATCATCATAATTATAAACAAGAATCTCTATCATACATTCTTTGTGTTTTATTTAATCTAGAATCATTGAATTTTAATGATTAAGAATAAAAGGGAATATAAAAATTGATTAAAAAATCATAGTCATAATTTTTTATTTGGTTAAATAAAACACTGAGTTTTTTATAATTTAAGTATTGGTTTATTTCTAAAAACACATGACAATATGAAAGTGTAATCATACTTTACATATTTTTATTGAAATGAAAATTCAATTTGTGCAAAACTATTTATTTAAAAAAAAGACTAAGGCAATTGAATAAAATCTTTTTTTTCTAATTGTCAACAACACTAAAACAGACATGATTGAAAAAAAAGATATGTATTTTTATTCTTGAACTGTTAGTATTGAATTTAATCATAGTTGTGTATGTTTTATAAGTTTATTCAACTAACTTTAAACCAAATAATATTAGTTAAATGATTGTCTAACGATTAGTTGATTACTAGGTTATTCAGTCATGCCTTAAAATTAAGCTGAGTCTATAATTCAAATACAAGTTGTTTTATTTGATCTTATTAACTTTTTGTTGTACTTAAAACAACATTATATCAACAATAAACATGGTTTGTTTTAATGAAATAAAGAATAACTGAAATAACACTAATTATTATTAAGAACATAAGGTGATAGAATCATAAATATAAATAACATACAATATTATAAAAGAGTATTTATGTATTAGAGTTATTGTATTTAATAAAAGAGATATAACTTAAAAGATTGACCAATTATTTAATTCTTATATAAAATACCATTTTATTCTTTTAAAATCATTTTTATTTCTTTCCTGTATCAATGAGTAAAGGAGAGACTGAAATGAAATATATTAAAAATAATTAAAATATTAGTTTTATATTAAAATCAAATACTTATTTTACATTGATAATTTCAATATGTAGACTATATTCAATGAATATAGAAGATAAATCAGAATATACTTAAGATTCTCTTCTTTTTTAATATTGATGTTATTACTTTTTATTCGTTTCACAATTAAACCATTTATTATTGAAAAGGATTCAATTATTTATTGAAATGATAATTATCAGAAAAGAATAAAAATAAATACAGTTAGATTCTAATATTTTATTATCTGGTAATTGTATCTTTAATAAATATTAATCAAATTAACGTAGCATGAAATTGATAATAATAAAAATGAAGTAATGATAAATAGGATATTAATTTAATCAAAGAATATTGAATGAAGTATTATTAGTGTTTTTATTAGTTGTTCAATATCTTAAGACGAGTCTTTGCTTTTATTAAAAAAATGGTTATTTATATTTGGTTGCAGTAGAAGAAATGTTCGTATTATTATTATTTTTTGTTATTAGACTTTATTTTTTAATATTCAATTTTCATTTTTATTACGTTATTAAATTAAGATCGAAAGTGGCACTTCTGAAACACCACACATAAACCCTAGTACAAATTCAAACTTCGACTCTCCCAGTTATTATCTGGTTATGACGGTGCTTTTGAATTAGGAATGTATTAGGGAATGCTGCAAAGGGTGCAGCAAGAGAATACAGTAGAATATTACATGGATGTAATATAAGAATCTACTGAAGTGTGGGTATGACTAAAAGAAGATTAGTCAAAATAAGACTAAAAAGAAGATTAGTCAAAGTAATACAGTAGTAATGAAATGATTCCTTCTTCCATTCATAAAATAAGAAAAATGAAATTCCTGAAAATTAAGGCAGAAAACAAACAAAGGCTTAAAAAGAAGAAATAAGCAGAAGAAGTTTGAAAAACCTTAATAAGAAGAAATAAAACAAAGAAGTGCTTTCCTCATTTTGCAAGACAAACCTAAATGATAGGTTAAACAAAGAGATTACTCTTTTTTAATAAGCTCAGGGATGGGATTAGTCTCCCCTGAGCTAGGAAGAATAGATGAAAAATCTATTAATACTTAATTAATTACTTTTTATTATTACGTTATTAAATTAAAGCTCTCAAAATGTATTATCTGTTGGTTGATAATATTACTGAAGTGTGTTGATATTGTTAAATTTTATTTTTATTATTCTCATTTTACTTATTTATACATGTTTCTTTTGTTCAAAATATTCTAATAATATAATAACCAGTCATTGTCGTATCAAATATAAGATAAATTTTTCTATTCACAATAATAAAATAAAACATAGATACGAATATCATATAACAATTAAAATCAGAGAATACAAAAGAATAAAAAACAAACTGATTATATAATTATATCATAATATTATTATGAATGATAAATAATTTTTATTATATTTCCAATAAATTGAAAACATGAAGAAATACTTTTAAGTCATTAACATAAAATGAAACATTGATTAAATTAATATTTATATGAATTAATTCACAGTTCCAAATTGTTGCATAGCAAGTGTATAATAAAATCCTTTCAAATCCATCAATTCTTGATGTGTTCCTTGTTCTACTATTTTTCCTCTCATAATAACACATATTTGATCTGCATTTTGAATAGTCGATAGTCTATGTGCAATAATAATTGTTGTTCTTCCTTTTGATGCTTTGTCAAGTGCATCTTGTACAATCTTTTCACTTTGTGTATCAAGTGCTGATGTAGCTTCATCAAGTAATAACACTTTTGGATTTCTAATCAATGCACGTGCAATAGCAATTCTTTGTTTCTGTCCTCCTGATAATTGACTTCCTCTATCACCTACCATTGTGTTATATCCTTCTGGCATTGCTGAAATAAAGTCATGTGCATTTGCCATTTTAGCAGCAGCATAAATTTGTTCATTACTTACTTCAACTCCTTCAGGCACTCCTCTTTTAATATTATCTATAACACTTTCAGCAAATAATACTGGTTCTTGTCCAACTAATCCTATTTGATTTCTTAAGAATTTAACATTCAAATCCTTAATGTTATACCCATCTAATAAAACTTCTCCACTTGTTGGGTCATAAAATCTTTCAACTAATTGAATTGTGGTTGATTTACCACATCCTGATGCTCCTACTAATGCAATTGTTTTCCCTTGTTCTGCTTTGAATGAAATACCTTTCAATACTTCATTATCAGCTCTTGTTGGATATCTGAAACGTATGTTTTTAAATTCAATTTCACCTTTAACATCATTAAATGTATTTCCATTTATTTCACTTGAATCTATTTTAGCATTTCTATCAATCAAATTATATGAATGTCTTGCTGCTTTCATTGATTTACCAATATCAGGAATAATTTCTCCAAAATTTCCAACTCCATGTGCTGCAAAAACAACAGACATAATAGCTTTTTGAATTTTCATATACCTATCCATAAATTCTTGATAAAATCCTTGATTTGTTTGTGTATAATTCAAATTCTTTGCTAAAAGATAAGTACCAAGATAATATCCATAAGCATCAACAATAAAATTTGATAAATTTGTAATTGCATTCACTAAAGCAAGTATTAATCCCCATTTAAAAATATTTTTATATGGTTTTTTCAAATTTAATGAATATTGTTTTAAGAAATATTCTTCTCTTGTTAATGATTGAACTGTTTTCATCGATTCAACTGCTTCTACAAGAGTAATTCCCGATTCTTCATATGCTTTTTCAGCTGGAGATGATTGCATTGAATTTAATTTAAAATCGAAAAATAGAATAAGAGTGTGAATAGGAAATACAGCAATAACACAAAGTGCTAACTTCCAATCATAATAAAGTGCAAATCCAAATGCAAAACATATTGTAGAAATGATATAAACAAGATTTCCAAGAAATACACCAGTAATTCCATTTAATTTTGTTGGATCAGATGATAATCTTGTAACTAATGAACCTACTCGATTTTCTTTTCTATCAAACCATCCTATTTCTTGTTTGACAATTGATTTAAACATTCTTCTTCTAACACTACCTATTAAATGTTCTCCTGAAGATAGGAATAATCCAATATAAAAGTAATGGGATATAAGTCCAGCAAGTGCAATTCCCATGATCCAAATTATAGTATTAACTAATGTATGTTGTTGTTCGTCTGTTAGTTCAACTCCATCTTGTAGTTCCATCATCATTACTATCAAATCAATAAATTTAATTGTAAAAATTGGAAATACTGCACCTCCTACAATTCCTCCAATAGTAGCAAGTATAAATAATACAAAATTCATTCTTAGTTGTTCAATCATAATTCTTATTATTGAAAATCTATTTCTTTTCTTTCTTATTTTCTTTTCTTTCTCATATTCTTCTTTAATTTTACTCACAATATCTTCCTCCTCATCATGACTCTCTTCAACAATTATATTTTCTACTTCTTTATCTTCTTGTTCTCTAAATTTCTTTAAGTCATTTTCAACGGTTTCTTGTTCAACTTCTTCTTCCATACTTTGTCTTTTGACTAATCCATAATATGTTCCTTTCAAATCCATTAATTCTTGATGTTTTCCTTGTTCAATAATTTCTCCTTGATGAAATACACATATTTTATCTGCATTTCTAACAGTTGTTAGTCTATGTGCTACAATAATTGTTGTTCTTCCTTTAGATGCTTTTTCAAGTGCTTCTTGTACAATCTTTTCACTTTGTGTATCAAGTGCTGATGTAGCTTCATCAAGAAGAAGAATAGATGGGTTTCGAATCAATGCACGTGCAATTGCAATTCTTTGTTTTTGTCCTCCTGATAATAATGCTCCTTTTTCTCCAATTATTGTGTCATATCCTTCTGGAAGTTTAGAAACAAATTCATGTGCATTTGCCATTTTAGTACATTCAATCATCTCTTCTTCACTTGGTGTTTTTCCTTCTTTAGCTCCAAGCATAATATTTTCTCGAATTGTTCCTGCAAACAACACTGGTTCTTGTCCAACTAATCCTATTTGATTTCTTAACCATTTGATATTCAATTCTCGTATGTCTTTTCCATCTAATGTTACTCTTCCACCATTTGGCTCATAATTTCTTTGGATTAATTGAATAGTAGTTGACTTCCCACATCCTGATGCTCCAACTAATGCAATTGTTTCTCCTTTCTTAATTTCAATGTCAATTCCTTTTAATACATGATGAGATGGTCTTGTTGGATAAACAAATTGAACATCCTCAAATCTAATATTCCCATTACACTCAGTTGGACATTCACCTCCAATAGACTGACAATCAATATCTGGGATTCTATCAATTGTTGTAAATATTTTATAGGCTGATGCTTTTGCTGAAAATAACAAATTTAATGGTGTTGCAGCCATTGCTAGTGTTTGAGAAGCAAATAGTACTGACATGAACACCGTTAATACATCCCCAGCAGACACACCTTTACTTCCTCCTTTTCCTCTAATGACTAATGAACCATACCAACTTCCAAGTGCATATGATGCAATCATGAAAAATGTAATAATTGAAAATCCTAATCCAAGACATTGTCCTTTAATTCCATTAAAGTGTTCATTTTGTTTTATTTTTTCTTCATATTCTTCAATAAATTCATTTTCTTGATTTAATGATTGAACTGTTCTAATATTTCCTATTGTCTCTTCTGCAATAGCACCAGCTGCTCCAAACACATTTAATGCTTTTGTTTCATATTTCATTCCAACTATTTGAAACCCTGTGAAAGAAAATGAAGATAATGGAACAGTTGCCAACACAACTAATGCAAGATCCCAACATTTTGTAAATCCAATAACATAACCTGTAATAACCATTGAGATTATTTGAAAAATCATTCCAAATTTTGGACCAATTCCATCTTGATAATTTTTAATATCTGTTGCTATTCTTGCTGTCAATTCTCCTGATTCTTGAAAATCATACCATGTTGCGTCTTGTCTTAATAATGACTTGAAATATAATCTTCTCACTCTAATTCCTTCTCTTTGTGAAACTACAAACAATGAAAATGTTCTCAGAAAACTCAACACCATACTTATCACTCCAAAATATACCATCTTCACAACTACTTTATTCACTGACTCTTTTACTCCTTCAACAATCATGTGATTAACTTCTTCATCTATTATTGTATTATCACCTGGTGTATAAATATAACTATTAACTAAGTCTCCCATCAAAAGCATCATGAGTGGTTGCATTACTCCATTTCCCAATGAACTTATAAGTCCAACTAGTACTAAAATCATGTCAATCCAATCAGAATATTTGAAAAGTTTTATTACACTAACATTTCCTTCTGTGTCATGTAATTTATTCTTAGTTGAAAGTTCATCAGGATCAGGTGTTACATTGAATATATTAAAAGTATCAACAGGATCACTAAGCATAAGAATGGTTCAATAAGATTCTGCCCTATTCTTTAAATAGACTTCTCCTCAGAATATGAAGTATGTCTTGCACGAAAACAGTAAAAACTCGTTACTCTTGGAATAATCTGGCAGTTCGTTTTCGTTGTTCTTCTCGTATTGAACCAACATGTTATTACTCAAAACCTTTGAACAAGTTCATTTAGTTTTTAATTTACTTAACCACAATTGAAATAATGATTTGATTACTATTAACGATATGGCAAACAATTTGTTTCTTTTGCTTCTATTGAAACAATTAATCAATTACCAAAAATTGTGTTATTTCTACTCAAAAAGAGAAACCAAGAAATGAATTTAACTTTGTAAAGAAACAAAATAAAACAGCATGAATAAGTCACTTAATTAATTCTATAATAATATATTTTTTGTCTTCGACTTTTTTAGTAATGCTTCTTTAACACCTAATCATTTCCATATCCCCACAGAAAATTATAAACCTTTCTTTCTCTAATAAACTCATTAAATATGTTATTTTTAACTTAATGTACCAAAAATTATTTGATTAAAAATAAGTGACAGTTTTATTTTTGTTATTTCAATAACCATAACTTATAACACAGTAATTTACTTTATTAATATATTATTATCTTATTATATTTCTCAACGAAATTAATCCATTTCAGCTCATTGGCATGGAAGAGAAACTTTTATTCATTTGATTGATATTAAATAATATCTAATAGTCAACATAAATCAGAATTAAAACCACAAATATTAAAACTATTTAAAAAAATTGTATCATGTTATTATGTAATAGTGTACTATTGATTAATATTTATTGAAATTAAATAAGAATGAGATATAACGAAAAAATTGTACAATGAATTTTTGTTCATCTAATCTAATAAGAAAAATAATGAGTTATAAAGAAGAAAAGAAAATAACTATTAAAATTCATGCTTACTTATTGAAATTCATTATAATTAACTTCATAACCCTTGATAATTGAGAAACAAAACAACAACACTGACATAAAACATTCATGAAATAGATGTTCTTAATAAAAATGATAAAATTTAATGATAATAATCTTCAAAAACATTAATTGTAAAAAAAACCAATAAAATATATAGAGAGTATAAGACTGATAAAAATTAATGAGAAATAAAAGAAAAGCGGAATATATTAAAATTATAAGAATAATGTAAACATTCAGTAATTCAAAAAATTAAGAATAGATAACTTTTGTAATTCTTCAAATTTAAAATATCTTATTCAATTGTTTGAAGCAGCACAGCTCAATCAATAAAGTCACAAAATAATACATAATGATCAACAAAATGTTGATGAACTAATTCAAATCTTTAATAAAAGAAATTAAACAATTTACTATAAGTCTGTCTATCCTCTTTATTACATAATTTATATATTCAATAAAATATTAATAAATTCATACAAGCATCTAATAATATGATTTTGGTGTTTTAGTTTATCAAAAATAAATAAACTGATTGAATAGGAAATACACAAAATTATTATATCTTCATTATATGATTTAGTTGTTCATTTGTTTATTTTTAAGAAGTAAAAAATAACAAAATTAACAATAGTTTTCTTTGAATTAGGTATTTGAATATTTCAACCATTACAAACTTATTTACATATTTCAAATACAAAATTAATGATTATAAAATGTTTTACAAATGAGAAATAACGTTCTACATTACCACCTTGGTTTTATCTTTGATTGTGTATGTTATAAACAATAGAACGTAATGGTTATAATAAAAAACATGAACAATTAAAATAAACAAAAAAAGAAAAAAGGATGTACAAAGAAATACATTCCAGTCATTTTGACTTATGAAGTGTTGTATAAATTCATAATCAACAATAATGTATTAAATTGAGAAAATGTCATAATAAAATAAAAAAACACAAATTGAATAGAAATAGTTTATATTATTTAAGAAAGAAAAAAAAACAATAATAATAGTAAAAGGAACTAAAGAAATAAAAAGAAGAAAAACCCTGAGATCCAAGAAAAAAAACCCTGAAACACTTGTTATTGTAGCTATGGCTTTACACAAAGCTGGTTTAAGTAAAGAACAAAAGAAAGCTAAGAAAGAAGCATATCTTGTCAAGATGAAAAAACTCTTGGAAGAATACAAACAAGTTGTAGTTGTCAAATGTGATAATGTAGGATCATCTCAATTCCAAACTATCAGAAAAGAATTAAGAGGAACATGCGAATTTGTTATGGGAAAGAATACTCTTATTAGAAAAGCCATCAAGAATCAAGCAGAAACTCAACCAGAACTCGAAGAACTTCTTCCACACATTAAAGGTAATGTTGGATTCATCTTTACTAAAGGTGATCTTTATCAATTAAAAGCTAAACTTACTGAACTTAAAGCACCATCACCAGCTAAAGCTGGAGTTATTGCACCAAATGATGTCATTGTACCAGCTGGTGACACAGGACTTGACCCAACACAAACCAACTTTGTCCAAGCATTGAACATTGCCTCAAAGATTACTAAAGGTCAAATTGAAATTACTTCAGAAACTCTTTTAATTAAAGAAGGAGAAAAAGTTGGTGTATCACAAGCAGTTCTTCTTCAAAAATTAAAGATTAATCCATTCAAATATGGAGCTGTTATTGATGTAGTTTATGATAACGGTATTGTTTATGATGCTAAAGCTCTTGATTTAACTGAATCAGATATTGTCAAGAAATTCCAAGAAGGTGTTCAAGCTGCTACTGCTATTTCACTTGCTGCCAATCTCCCAACCGAAGCAGCCTGCCCACATCTTATGCTCAATGCATTCCAAGCTCTCCTTGGATTCTCAAAAGAGAGTGGTGTTGTATTCCCATTGGCTGAAAAGATCTTCAATAACATGACTGCCGTTGCTGCTACTGCTGTTGCTACTGAAAGTAAAACTGAAGAAAAGAAAGAAGAAGCCCCAGCTGCTAAAGAAGAAGAGGAAGAAGAAGATTTTGGAGGATTTGGTGATTTGTTCTAAGCAAGTTTTTGGAAGATAAAAAAATCATTTATTAACTTTTTATTTTATAAAAACAAAAGTGAATGAAAATAATTCATTAAATAAAAACATATTTTTAATATAATAATATTATTATTTATTTCGGATTTATAAACAGTCTGTTATTAAAGAAAATAATAGAAAAATAAAAGTTAAAACATTCCTATTCTACGTGAATTTAGTGGTTAAATAAAAATTTATTAAATGTTTGTAAAAAAAATTAGAAAGTAAAAAAGGTATTTAATAATCATTTACGGTAATAAAAACAAAACTAAAAGATACAACTTATGATGAAATTAGTAAACTGAGCTAGGGATTATTCAAAAACTTACAATATGAACTTTTTCTTTCTAGCAACTCAGAAGGTTATTGAAGATTCTGAATGAACAAGAAAAATTAAAAAATAAAATAAAAAACTAAAAAAGTTATGAAGGAAATTACTCTTCCATTAGATGTTCATTACATTGATCAACTTGTTGAAATGTCAAGATCAAATGATGTTGATAAAATTAATACATCACAAAGAATTCTTTCTAAATTTGCTTCAAATAAACATTCAATACAATCAGTTAATGATATAATAAGTCAATCATCATCAGACTTGACACATCTTTTTGCACTTAATATCTTTGAGTCAACAATTAAATCTCCAGAATATATGTATTACCCTGATGAACTTAAACAGAAAATACATTTATCAATTAAACATTGGCACTCATTAATTGGAGTACAGACTAATCCTTTATTATATAATAAATTAATTAGTCTCTATGTCTCATCTTCTATAGTATTAGAGGATAAGTTTTCTATAAAAACACTCCTTCAATATGATGAATCTATTGCATTCATAAAACTAAAGACAATCATTGAATTCTTTTACCAATCAGTTGACTTTTCAAGTTCTGAAGCTTTGTTATGTATTCAATACTCTGCAAGCCATTTGTCTGATTTGACTTTACTTTCTCTTAAAACAATAGAAAAAACAATTTCATTTGTTAATCCACAAACCAGTGGAGTTATTGCAATGAATTGTTTAAATTATATTCAACAATATCAAGAAGAGGTATTAATAATATTAGCAGAAACATTTCATAATATTATTCAAAGTAATCCACAATCTAAAGTTGATATTTTAAATCAATTTATTAATAAAATTACATTTTCTCTTAGACCATCCAATGAATTAGCATTATGTCTTAATGAAATTCTTCCTGAAACAGATCCACCTTCACAACTTTTTGAATTAATGATGAAATGTTCATCAAGTAAATATTGTATGAAATATTTGAGAAGATATTGTAAAGCCACTCCAATGACTGTTCATTCTTATCATATTCGGATTCTTGAGATTATATTAAATGAAATTCCTCAACCCCCAAATACATTATTTATTAATAAAGATGATGGGTTTATTGAAAATGTTGAAGCTGGTGGAATTGACTATGACCAGTTTATTCGTACATTAGTTGTATTATGTGAGTCAGGAATTACTGAAGAATTAATAGATCATTTAACATCATCATCAACTGCAGATGGATTAGATGAATTAAAATTAATTAAAACAATATGGGCAATTACTGGTATTTCAGGAAAAGTTGTTTATAAGACTGAATCTATTATTTTTACTCGGTCATTGACATTTTTATTAACTCTTTTTGGAGAACAAACAGAGTCAAATAAACAAGAATTAATTGCACAACTAGTAATGGCTTTAATTTCAAAATTTCCTCGATTTCTTTGTCATAAAAGTGAAATTTTAGGAGTTGTTCTTCATAAAATATTTGAATTTGTAAATGATCCACGACTCATCATTGAACGTACCGCTGTTGGTACATTAGTAAAGGTATGTTATTCATGTTCAGAAACAATTACAAATAATATTAAATGTATTAACGAAATTTATAAAGGATGTACGTCAGGAGAAAAATTACCAAATACTTTAAGAGGAGGATTTTATGATGCACTTGGAGTTG